CCGTTGTGAGTTCCACTCAGAGCTAACTGTTAGTTCAAAAGTGAGATTTTGTGAGAGAGAGTATCTGTGATGCGGTTTCTCCAATGACTTTTTAAATCCAGCAATCCCCTCTGTCAACTCCGCCAGCCAAAGTATTCTTAAGTTATCTCTTTACTGCTACTCTTACTTTCATTTTCAGTCGGGGCTGCAGCAAGAACTCAAATGTCGAAAGTGACCCAGGCTAAATATTTGCGCTTAAAATTGAGATAATGTGTCGCCTTCTCAATAGAACGGCACTAGAATATGAGTAAGCTATTACTTCTTCCTATAATTTCCCCCCAACTTGGTGGCACGAATGTCATTGCCTATTTTATTTACCAAATTCACTGCATTGTTGAGTTTAGTTTTACAGAATGATAATTACTTAGCTAATATTTTTAAAGTTAGACTTTCCTAAAAGGCTTTCAATAAATTGGAACCTCCACAGATGCAGATTATCAGAGCTATAAACCTTATGACAAACCCAGCGACTGCCACTACATACAACATTCACATGGATTTTTCCGCTGTCACGCACCAAAGTCATGAATTCCACTTTAGTTCATGTGATTGGATTATACCGATATGTGTTTAGCACTTGTTTGGTACCTGGTACATGCATCTGTGCCAATTTTTCAGATTCCAAGCTTCCTGTAATTATTTCAAAATAACAACCCAAAAGATGCAATAATTTAGGTGCTTTTGACTTTCGTGCGCTATCTGACACTCTTAGAAATAAGTTTATAGGTAACCTTGGGCATTGGTAGATACATTTAAAGTTCAATGGAATTTCGCAAATTTAACAGGCTAATCGCTATGTTTAACAAATGCATTCTGACATTTAGTTAGTTTCTCTTGTTGTAAGACCACTGCAACCTTGCCACCAGTTGGAGTTTGGAATTGATATTAAATCCTCAGTCCCACTAACAGGCTACTCAATTCCAAGCAAGGAGCTGACCTTTGTGCAAAATTATAACCTCACAATTAATTTGGCGATGACTACAATAAATGATGGAATTGAGGGGACAAAAAAACTCAAACTCAATTTTTAGTTGGACAACTTTCTATTTCAGTGTTGAAGAGAAGTCGATTAAGTGATAAAAAAATTATATGGGATTCATTTCTGTCACACGGCTGGATCCTACTGTAATCTGTCAATATTCTGAACAAAGCGACAATATGTGAATATCCAGTGAGGATAAAATAAAAGTAATTTGCATCACGTAGTTATTAGATATTTCAATAAATGCGAATGAGTTTAAAGAAGTGCCTCGTGAGTTACTTGAATTCTCGACCTGAAGCCAGACTAATTTAATTAGCACATATTGATACTTGCAAATATTTATAAAAAGCTGGTTTCCTGTATGGTCCTTAGTTCTAGGTAAAAAACTGCTTAATCACGACGTCTTTGTTCGAAAGTTGGCGTGAAATAGCATGACAATCTATTATCGACCAGTTTTAATATTTACTTCGGTTAACACACCTATGTGCTAATTTCATTCAACATTTTCATCGGTACGAATACATTCTGGCACACATCAATTGCTTTGCTTAGCAGTTGGAAGGCAGAATAGAGCTTGAGCTTTGTAAAGGCCTTCAAATATAACTGGTTATGGTGCAGACTTACAGGTCTTTGATGTTTGCCTCAAAAATAAGCTACGCTGTATGCTTAATATGATTTGGTAGTTTTCCGTTTTGATTTAATAGTCAAGCAAAGTTAAATAGGCCTCGAAAATTAATATGGAATTAAACAGAATCGGAAAAACCAGTTTGCAAAGCATCTGAATTCTACTTTACAATCCGAAGGAATCAATAGAGCTACTAAGAAAACAAACATTATTCTCTTGTAGTTAGTTTAATCAAGCTGAAACGTCATAAGCTGGTAAAATTCATTACAAAATCATCAGAAATGACACAGCGGTTCTGTCTGGGCATACGTTATTATTTCCAGGTCAATTTTGAAGTCCGCCAAATTTGTCGAAGAGCGAATCTACTTTGTTGAGATCCCTTATAACAACGCCTCACTACTTTTTTCAATGGATAACTACTGGTTGACAATTTTCTAAATTATTTTCATCAATCTTACCGTAAGTTGTTCAGGGTGATGCTGAAAACAACTTCCATATGGCACTTCATGATACCATATGGAGGTTTTCCGCATACATTGCGGAGATTAGCAAGTCCATCTGGATTGAAATGTCAAAAATTTAGTCCCCATAGACTTCCTGGACGGTAAAAAAGTTGCTATTTTTAAGCCCCTCTGACTAGAGGAAATATCCCGGAAAAATACATGTGATTTATTAGCACTATAGGCTGGCACATCTTTTGTATATGCCAGATAAGCATCTGGAGGTATCGCGTCAGTCAGAATCCGTTAAGATCAAATTTGCTCCAATTATCCTCAAGCACGATCGAACGCAACCTAAGGAGCCGGCACATTTGCCCTCCACCTTCCGGCAGATCATTCGTTGAAAGTATAAACTAGGATGCTGGTGAGAAATCATGAGGCTGAACAGTGATAGTTTTTAAGAACCCCAATGCATCAAATATCTAGGAACGTTTTGGATGTTGCATGGTCACCTTTAAAATAGGAAATTTGTTATAGGCTCAAAGTAAATTTCTTCCGTCAATTTAAAACTTCACACTTAAGTGACACAGGTACCATTTTAAAAAATAGCACATATATTCGCTAAAAAATTGTCTGAATAAGTTGTCAAACCAGCAAAATGTGTTAGCGAATCGTTCGAGAGCAGTGTCAACTTCTAAGATGGTCCGGCGCACCAGGATCAGAGCAACTTAATTCGGAATCCCAAAGCATTGCATTCAAATACGTCAGTTGTGGTTCTTCTAATATAACTATATTGAATAAATAATTTTATGCGCACCATTTCGGCCTTTATAAAACGAGATATTCTCGTTCAGTTTACTGAGTACTACATTTGTTTTGATTATGCTTTGGCCAAATCCACTATTTGGATCTAAGGTTGAATTAATAAGGAAGATATAATTATCAATAATCTAGATTCTAGAATAATTTTAAATTTAGATCAAGGAATTCACAACCCGGAATTAAATTTACGAATCCACAAGGGTTTACTTTCAACTAGTTAATCATTACAAACAGTCCTGGCCCACATTCAGGCACCGTCCCACGGGTTTTACATGTTTATGCACTATGCTTTATTGATAACCTTGCTTAAGTTGTCAAGTTTTTTTAAGTTTCTATTCACTTTTTGTTTTCAAATAGGCTCATTCTTAAAAGGACAGAGCTGGAAAAGCTTTGTACTTTTCAATATAAACCGATTATGGTAAATCGTACGGATAATTTTCTTCGCAATTTTTAGGGGCGTGGCCTCAAACTTTATAAGGAAAAAAGAAATATGGATCGAAAAGATCTGCTACTAATTACTGGAAACCATTTCTACGTGGGGTCTATCGCGATCATTTCTGCACATCGTCACAAATACACGAAGCCGTTTAAAAGTTTGTGCACATTTAGAAATCGTTGTGTACAAGCCGCAGTACTTCAGCTAAATTAAATTTGGCAACTTCGAAATTGCATATTTTATGGAGTTGTCTTGTCTGTCCTCTCCTTGAAATTCTGAGCTCTCTACAATCATGATTATGAAGTCGCCGTTTCGAAGCATTCACTTTGTCATCTAATGAGAGCAGTATACCTGAGACTAATCAAAGATAAACCCACAAACAATGGTGTTTCAGACAATTCTTTCTGATTAAAACTGCAAATTTACTGCTAAACTTGTAAATTCGGGTAACTGTGACCGTCTTGCGTTAGTGCAATTACCAGGATTGGTGTAAAATTCAATTTAAAGGCAGTCATTGCGTACTTTTGCAAAGTGAGCTTGATTAAAAGGTCTTAAGATAACCTATCTAACAGATTATCGTTGTTTTGCTTATACCGTATGCGTCACACAATATAAACCTGTAGTGGACTGACAACCACCTCACCTCAGGGCCCGAGCGGACCAATGACTCACCCTTTCTGTTATTGGCCTCTGTCAGCATTCGCCAGTCACGCACGCGTACTCATACGCACACAAAGCCACGTGGTTGTTTTGACATCAATAAACCAGTCGTGTCCGCCCTCGCCTCTTTTCCGCTCTACTCGGATTGTCTTGGGCTGTTAATTAGAGGGTTGTAAGGTAGTGCTGAGTATCAAGCTACTACATACCTGTTCTTTGAAGATCATTTCTGCTTATATCTATACTAAGGTTCAGGAAATGATTTCTCAGGATTGCATTACATAGGTGCATTTTTTAAAACACTAATTTTAAAACTTGGTGCATAACAAATACCGATCTCGAGGTGACGGGTTGATTAATAATTTGTTGGATGTGGATTTTCATTCGGACGGGCCAAGACTCGCTTTTCTGACAATATTCAGGCAACTGTGGGCCCAAGGTTGAGAATTATTAAGAACTGCTTAATAAGCAAGGTATATTGCGTGAACAAAACTGTTTTCTAAGCTACAATTTTTGAACTCTTCCAGATCTTAAACGGTTTGAAGGCGATACAGCACCATTCGAGCTCTAAAAAGGAACCCCTGGGTCTGGCATTTAAATTTTTTTCCGAAAAAGTGTTTTATTTTCAGAGTAGCACGCAAGTATCGAGCATTGTTTATACAACTTTCCAATCGGAACACGACCGAATATGACTTGTTGTTATGGACATTCAGCATGGATTAAAGAAACCACTACAACTAATGTTATTTTACTACTTTCTAAAACAAAAGAACTATCCCCTGATGGGCTCATTAACTTCCGCATGATATTAATTACCTAATTCGGTTGTCAAAATTACTATTGAACAATTAATAGATTGGAGAAATACCATGACCATTAATATAGAATTATTAATGCGAAAGCATATTGGGAACAAGGTACCGCTTAGAGGGGATCTTTTGCAATGCACAACATTAATATGTGGATATAATATTCAGTATTTACGTCAATGCGTAGAATTTATTCGTTTCTTTTCTGTTTGGCCTCCCTTTTTGCTCTGTAGAGGCGCCGTTTTGCCAGCCACAGCCTTTTCTGTAGGCGAATGTTGTTGAAAAACCAGGCAATGTCTCTACGCAGGGTTGTCAAATCGAGAAGTAGGAGGGACAACAAAAAGATTACAATTATTATTATGACAATTGTCCCCAACTGTCTTGCAGACATCGCTTCGACGGCCGGCGGGATAAAGCGGCCAGTTGAACTGGTTATTATATTTTCAGTTTTTTCTATAAAAAAATGAAAAAAGGCCTATATACTTCGAAAACGAAAATAATGATACTTTTTCCAAAAGACTTAGTAATGATACTGTCTTAAAAACCATCATTTCAAATTAAACATTTGACTAGACTTCAGAATATTAATTATAAGCCTCATTTCCAAAAACAATTATGTCTGTAATTAATTTCAGTTACATTCATTTCTACTAGACCTTCTTGATAGCCAAAAACTGATTGAGACAATTACTCATTTCATTACAAACAGAAAAAAGTTTCATTTCTGCAAACTTTTTTCTCGCAAATCACCTCATATCCTTATAACAATATGGTATTTACGTTGAAAACTCAAGTAACACTTTATGGTTACTTGTCACAGGAGATTAATCAGTAACAACTTTTCTGAACAAATTTACCTCGAGATAATTGGATTACGCGTAATTTTCAGAAGTGGCGGGTCATTAGAAAAAAACTTGTAGAAGACTCGTGTCTACGACTTCCATTCAACCGTTTATAAATCAGCACGTGCTCTGTTACTCGGTATTAACACTAGTACTTCGTAAGTGCCGAGCTCAACGTGCGCCTAAACGGCTACATTCACCTCACTCTGCTGTTTCCCAGCCAAAATCTAGTCATAACAACTAATCGGTACCTTTGTGGCTCAAATAGGGTTTAAAAAATCAGCTACTGCCTTTTTTATGCGCATCTACGCCTGTCTGTTGAAAAAGTAATGTAAAAATGAAGGACAATTTTGTGAAACTCACTTATGCACCCTGAAAGCTGTGGCCTCCACCGTCCAATTGAACCACAGCTGATATTTTGATCGGGTTCTTTCGTAACGGTCTCGTAGCCGGCCATGCAAGTGTATCGAATTTTAGTCCTATAGGGGTAGGGTATCGGTTTCAGCTTCTCGGTCACATCCATTGTTCCGTTCGAGTAGTCGATTGTAAATAATGGCTGAATGTTGTGACTTGATTTTATCAGAGCCTTTTCATACATACAAGTAACCGCTGAAATTAAGAGATGCCAGAAATGTTTAAGGAATCTAAAAACACTCCAGCAATAAGTTCAACAGCTAAGTGACTGGGAACATTCACTAAAAACCCAGTTGCAGTGAATTTCTTACGGATTATTAGTTGACCTAAATTAGTTACGTGCACCTTTTACGCTTTGGAATTTCACGGTAATTGTGCCTGTTTCATTTAATGGGGCTTGAGTCTTCATTTGATTACAAAATGAAATATGTGAAATCACCTAGTCTTAAAAGGAAACTGCAAGTGTGTCACCATTAGATTAATTTAACTTGCATCAGAAAACATTTGAATGTTATGAAATTTCTGAATAATCCAGTTCTATGGCGTTAGCTGGGGGAATGACAGTCTTAAACTTATACTGTATCGTCACAGGTTTTGGTAGAGTTAAAGTAAAGGTGGACTTGCGTTCACATTGTTCGGCCAGTGGTAGTATTGTTCCGCTATATCCTTTCCACACCCCTTTATTGTTTGAACCCTCTTTGAGAGTGCACTCGACATGCTTTTCAAAGGAGTGATCTGGAAAAAAGTAGGACTCATCGCATATGTAGGTGACCACGTTGCCGTATTGATTGAACTGGTTCACCTGCAGTGAGCCATACTCCTCCTCAGTAAGTTTGCTTCGTGCGCTTGACAGTTTGCCGAACTTCGGAACCATGCCCTTCATTTCCTCCTCGCTACATCGGATTGCTTGATAGAAAAATTATTTAAAGTAATAAGGAGTCCCTGAATTCAAATACTACAACAAGTAAAGGTAAATTAAAAAATCTTGGATAAGTGTCTAGATGTTGAAACACTGAGTTCCTCCAATCCGGTCAGTACAATTAACAACCCCATTACAGAATCTAATATAAGAAAAAATTAGTTCACAAACGTTTAAGGCAAATGATTGGAAACTGGTAGATACTGCTTTGTGCTATTTGTAATCATTATATAATTAGTCGAGTCAAAGGTAAGCCTTCAAAATAAACAAATAACCTCTACTAACACTTGCCACATTTTGGTTTTTTAAAAGGTATTCCTTTAATTCAGGCATCCAGTTTTGATTTTTGCAATTGCTAAAGCGCATTGACGGTGATCAAGCGACCTTTAAAGTGATTTGCCAGCTTTATCTTACCTAAGTACAGGATTCGGTTTTAGAACTCAAATTAGACTCTGTCCAAATTGCTAGTTTGTTTTTTTTGTACCCTGGAAATTTTTTTAACATTTAAAGCGAATCCAGCAAACAGTTCACATTACTGACACCGAAAAAAGTTGACAGGATTTCAATATACTCATTATCCAGGTTAAATAAGAAGTCTATTGCGATAATTTGGTTAAAAGATATCAAAATTTTGGCTTATAATGTTGCACGTTTTCCCAACACATCAAAAAATTCTACCAATATCGTCAATTTCTTAAGCCTTCAGTTTAAAATCAGTACATTAGTTACTATTGATAGTTGCATTAACACAAAATATCGACATACAACTAAGTCTGGACTATGATCCCTATCCCAACTGATATCCAGGGTTTCGGAAGTCACTTTTAAAGGCTTGGTGCGCCTGATATTTGCATACGTGCTTAGTCGTAGAAAATTGGTCTGCATCAATAAACGATGCTGACAGAATGCCACCCTTAAACCCACGACATCATTTATTACTTTAGAAAGGATGAACCAGGGTGCATAATTTGCTTAACGTTTATAACATGGATACTGAATGCATGGACAGGCTAATTTAAGCTGCATTTTCCACTAATATGGGTGTGTCATTCTAGGAGTAACCAGCAGACAACCGCATTGTCCTATTCTACATCTCTAGCCACTGAAAATTTTTATTTACATTCTGAAAATACCCGAACACAAATAGTGCACATACCAGCACAAACTTGACAGGGACCAGGGAGCCACACCCCTTGGATGGGATTATCTGGTAATGAGAGGCACTGCATAGATGCCTTCGTCTGCATCAAATCGAAGGTAAAGGCATATCCCGCGCTACAGTCGACGCTAACATTTTCACCGTATTTATAGGTGGTATTTCCAATGGTGGAAATGGAACTACTTTCCACGTGGCACAGTGATGTAGTGTTCAGGAAGCAGGACATTTCTAGAGAGCAAGGAAGGAAATAGATGGTAGTGAGCATAAGGTTGCCCCAGAAGAAAAGATATCCTTATGTGCAAATCCCTTAAGTTTGGGGAAATCAAGGCTTCAATACAAAATAAGGGACAACCTTAGTACTCACCCTAGCCCATCTACTGTTCCGAAGGATACCTGTGCCACCAAGGCTTCAGTTGCTTACAATTTACGTGAACCAAAGTTCAGAACCAGTGGGATTCTTTATTTATTGTTGATAATTAGGTTGAATATTTAACGAATAAAATTGGTACATTGTGGCTGGTTTAGCGTCTCATTGATTTGACCAAGCAAAAATTGACAAAAGTCATTTTAAATTTGGTTGCTTGTCATTCTAATCCTATTGGACCAATCAGTCTGGCGTAAATCTGGTTTACGAGAGGACAGAAGCAGAACCGGTGTAGAAACACTGTATTGAAACACCTGAAAACGGCACTGCAACCACAAAAAAACTGATACATTTATAGGCTGCATGCATGATGGATACTTTGGGAAGGAAAATAGCTAAACTATAATTTGCTTGAATCACCTACATCCAGTCAAGGGGTTTGTGGTAGGTAAAAAACAACTTGCATTTGGACTTGGTATAGCAAGATTAAAGCACAGTGACGGAGCTACCAACACCGCTTTAGAAATCATCTTTAATAAGTTTTTAGCGAATCCCCTCCTTTACTTTCTTCGTATCCACTTTAACTTAAGGTAAAATGAAGGTTTTAATTAACTTTAAGGCTTTCAATGACCCATCAAAATAGCCGTGGCTCCGCAAAATACACCATTGTAACCAAGTTGAGAAACAAAAAAACAGACTTTGAAGTCACAAAAACATGTACCTACCAATGCAGTCAGGCAGTGCAGTTCCACTGTAGGCGAAGTGGGTGGTAATTAAAGAAGGGTCACCGGATTCATCTCGCTGGCCGTCGCAACGGTATTGGCCAGGAGCCAGGGAACGGTCGACATTGACACCAGAGGTCACGGGGGGAGTAGTAGAAGGCTGAGGGAAAAATCCGGGCGAGCAAGCAATTGTTGTAACTGTTCCAACGTGAGGCCCTGTTGGTTTGAACTCCATCTTTGTGGGATCAAAGCCTCCTGGTGGATTTTCGCAGTCCTTAACTGTAGAAAAGGTGATTTCGACTCATTTACTCGAGCATAACTGAAGCAGACTGACCATGCTAACTTAAATCTGCTAGGAATTAACTAAAAGTTCAGTCGGAGTAAACGACCGTGATTGGAGAGGCCAAGATAACCGCTTCAGAATAGAACGAGCTTTCCAATACTTTTGTGTGACCTCCATTTTTTTCAAAAACTCCGGCGGCATTGACTCTAGCACAGTTTTAGATGTTGTTTAGGTCAGACCTGGAAGTATGCCACGTTTTCACTGTCTTTCCTGGGCAATCAGGCATGAGCGAATGTTGTTGAGCTTAATTATTTGATTTCTGTTAACTCTCAATGCAGAGACTTTCCTGCAGTGACCCGAATGTCATTCGTAGGGATGATGCTTTTATATATTGATACGAGTATCAAACTAATCGGATATTAATCTTTTCGCCACAAAACCCGATGCGTTGTCCATCGTCTTTGGTCTTCGTTCTCTGTCATGTGATCAAATGACGGCCTTACATGTTCGTCGTAATTTCCAAGCGGTAAAGCGTGAAGCGCCATCCTTCCTAATACTCAATGTATTTATATTTTAGGTTTAAGTGCTAAAATTTTTGCTTGTTTTGATCTTGAAACTTTCAACAATGTAAAACGAAACATTTATCGGTTTAAACCCTTTTTTTAAAAGGTAAGCCTAAGAAAGCCTTTGGATTTTCGGAGTTAGCCGCATTTGGATAACTGTGATCTCAACAGGTCGAAACAATGCATTTTTAAAAGTAGGTCCTATCTTCATACTATACCTTGTGACCCAAACAACTTTTTAGAAATGATTTTTTATGAAATTCACTTTGTAGGTTCAAGAGAATTCAATCTAATTAATCTCTCTTTGTGAGCTTACAGCTTTTGCTTTCGTGAGTCTGGTGTTTCAAAAGTTCTAAGATAACATGCTTAAAGTGGTAAATTCAAACCCACCAGTGTGTTCACAAACCAGTGCGAAGGTACTTGAGCATGGATAGTCCTCCACCACAGCCTTTGTGATCCACTGAGTCTGAACACGGTGGGTGGTATAGAAGAAAACAAGGCAGTTTCCGACACCTGTTCCTCCTGACCATGAGATAAAGTCGAGGTTTACGATCTTGTTGTCACTCTTCCACACAAAGGGATCCGAAACACCTTTATGTACACCAAAGGAGAAAAAAAACCTTTTTCATTCCAGATCAATGTGTAGTTGTTGTTGAATGTACTTAAAAGTGCCTTCGATTGCGTCGCTTTGTGTAATCGTGACTTGCCTCGTATTCATTTATATTTTTCAGTAAAATTAGTGGAACGCGCTATGAAGTATAATTTTACATGCAACATTCTGTGCATTATTAAACAGCATCTTTGCTTTCGCCTCAATTCTTTACAGTTTAAAGGTAAATTGGACATTTCTACACACCAATGACTCATCACGAATTCAAGACTGCTTAGAATGACGTGTTGGTAGAATTACCAAGACGTTAACCTTGTGCATCATTTATTTAAAGGCTATAGTTTCAATTTTACGTAATTTAACTAGTTAACGTAAGTCCAAGCAAACACGTATTACCTTTCTAGAAAGAAGTGTACTTTTGACCACGGTTAAGTTTAAGCAACAGTAAAAAAATTATGGAAACTTGCTTATTTGTGACAAAATTAAATCTTTTCGCTGGATTCTGCCATTTTATTTCCAGTGTCATTAATTATTTACTAGTCAATCAAATTGCACTCCAGGTCCTGGCAAATTCAAATATGGACGTTGACTATTTTCAATCACATTTATGCTCCTGAAAGCTCATTTACTTGTTCTGACAGCGTTGAGCCAAATCTTCTCTTTGATTGCTCGACCGACGAGAAATCCCTTTAGTTCTTCGGACTCCAAGACATCTCGGGTCTCAGCAATACTCACGCTGACGTTCGGAAAGCGTTGAAGCATCTTAGAGCAGATGTCTTGGCCAATAGTCCAGTTGTATCGAAGGTTGTTGGAGGACAGCTTATAGCACTTACCACTTTCCGGGACATAGCTCCACGATGAATCGGCACATGGAAAGTTAGCCGCATAACTCTCTGTGCCTTTAAATAAAAGATAGTGTTTTGTTTTAAAAAAACAGACATTTTGCAATAACAAGGTGGTTTTGATTTAGGTCAGGTGAAATGCAGGTGATTTCATAAGTCAATGTTGACTCCTGATACGCAATGAACCATAGCGAGATAACTCGTAAATGAAAAAATATCGAAATATCTTTAAATTCAGCATTACTATTCTGTGTTAAGTGTAGTCACGGGTTTGTTTACTTCTATCTATCCAACTGGAACGATGTTCAAGCTATTCATGTTCATCATGAGTGATTCGTGTCACCAAATTGAACTAAATCACAAGCCTTCGAGCCTTTGGAAGGATGTACACTTGGATGTTATTTCTCAATGTTTCTGGGCAAAAGTGTCCTAATTTTTGTTTTTTGCAAACGTTCGCTTGAAAAAAATAGTTCCCGTCATAATATTCACTAAATGAAGAACTCTGTCATTAAGTAAACACATATCAAAGGGTTTGGACAAAAAATCTGTGTGCAGCCTAATAATTTTAAAATTTGTATTATAGTAGTCTGCTTATACCTTGCAGCTAACTTTGGCGCAGCTGACCACACTAACAAAATTTTGTTCACAACTCAACTCCTGATTGTGATACAACGAATGCTTATTTCAAGTGCTCGGTTTATTATATCTCGTTGATAGAAAAAGAAACAGCAGTCTTTGAATGCTCTTAAGTTAAATTTTATTTCAAAATAAAATTATCTAAGGCTTAGGGTTAGAATTTTGACCTAAATAAGGGTTTAGCGCGTTTCAATTATTTCAACAATTATGCGTATCTGTACAAGTTAACCATGCAAATTCTTTTTGCATAATCTGAGCGCATATAAGGAATTTAATATTCTAGAATTTCGGTGCAGTGTTTCAAGCCATTAGGCCAATAAGATTCATAAATTGCTAAGTAGCTAGCCATAAAATATTTTTTTTAAAAAATACTTTATTGTGATCTCCTTCAATTTAATAAGTTTGCTTCATAGAAGGTTCGGTTGATTAATAATAAATGTTTCCTGTACACTAGAGTACTTCTATAGTAAACCACATAGTTGATATTGATAGGTTAAAATCTCGAAACCAACCCACCTTTCACTATTTCAAATACAGTAAGCAGTATCAGTAAGATTGTGCCCATTCTCCAGCTCAACGTTTTCTTTCTAGTAGCACAAGACTGAAGTCTGGTGTCATTGTATCCGGTTGTTAATAGCTACATGTCAGCTATTGTTCCCGAAGCCAATTAAACTGTGTAAATGGGCGTGTTTTTGTAGCTCTTGTTATTGAACATGCAGAGTGAACAGCCCTCTCCCCTGAAAGAATGAAAATTAATTTTCTAGAATTTCGTAACATCCATCATTAATATCGTGGACGACTTACCAGCTCCAAGACATCTTAAATATACAAAATGGAACAGGTGTCATATCGGCAGTTAAAATCACTTGATGGAGGTCGTGGAGATAGGCAAATTGACATCACTGCGCAGTGCAACGACGCGCGGAAAAATAACTCTTGGAAGCGGCAAACTATAGACACCTCAGATAATTATGCTCCACCTCCGGATGATCTTTTATTTAATAAATTCATAAGCAAAATGTTTGTGCTACCGGGATGCGCCGATAAGTTGTATAAGCTTCTTTTAATTACTGATCATTTCATTATATTTGGAAGATCCAACAAATTTAAATACCAACTTTAAAGCAGGATATTACTGTCGTCCCCTTTAACCTTTGCAAAAATATTCTACAATTGGACAAACGTAATTGTTACTCCAACCATTCATCAATCAAAAATTGTCCCAATTAATTTGACAAACTGAAATCGTTTACTTAAAGCTCCGCTTTTAAAAGGTCCCCCTTAATTCTTGGTTACGTTTATGCTGCAAACGCTAAATGGGTGGTCCAAAAATCTAATGGCCTAATTTTTTTCATTATACGCAGCATTAATTCTGTTTCATCACCATTAGGAATAACCAGGTCTAAGATTGCGTTCGACACGCATTGTGGTAAGTGAACTCAGCAACTGCACTCATTGTCAATCTCAAGCAAAGTCTATTAAACCACAAGAAAATTTCCAACCTTGCATATTTACTCAGTGGATTGGAACCCAACCGTGGATGGCTACAAGAACTCCGCCTTTGTCAAAGCGTTGTATTACTTTCTTCTTCGACCACCGACCTATGCATTAAATTAAACAAATCGAAGTCAAATCTGGATGGACTCGAAATATGTGACGGACACAAAGGAAGCCTCTAAATCACTTTATCCATTTACGTTCGAAAGAATCCACCAATGATCGTGTCGTAGGAGAGTCCTTTTTCAGTACTAATGTTTCACGCAGAGGTCTTCAACTGATGTCTTTTCCGAATTTAGCGGTTCGATGTCCACTCGCTCAACCACATTCCACCATGCGCGCAGCAATGTTGGTAGCCACGCGAGTCCGGATCAGAGTAGTTAAGGGATGTCTGCTGACATTTTCTACTCTGCATTGTCACAGAAGAAACAAGTGTTACCTTACTTCACAAAGGCCTAAATAAAATCGGCACTCTTGGTTGTTCCAAAGTGAGACTACTGCTTTGTAGTCTGCATAATTTATGCGGAAGCCACTTTCACTATCTACTCAGTTTATCAGTTTCCCACAGATGCATGACAAAGTTAACGAGCTATTGGTAAAATTTCAATCACGTTTACAATGTGCATAGCGTTAACTAACTTTGGAAGCCTCTATTCTTTCATTGAAATGAATTAAATCGCTTTCGACGAAGGCAAATACATTCATGGCAAATACCATGACGCCACTACCTTACATTCTAATCAGTAAAACATTGATTCGGCTTGTTTGCTTTACGGAATTAAACAAATCTGGTGAGGACGCAATTCATCTTCTAACCGCATATTATTTGCTGATAATTTACTCGGCTAAAGGCTAAGAATATAATGGCTCACAAGGCCAATGTATTGCTGAATCGTGGTAGTGAGGCCCACAAATGTCAAAACAGTTACCTGGCCTATCAGTTTGTCCCATTTAACTTTTAAATGAAGTCATTTAGAAGTAATTGCATTCAATGAAAGTGTAATATGAAAAGTCACCTTGTCAAGTTACTTTGCCTTCACTAAAGTTTTTATTAGTTTATGTTGGGATAAGTTTGTTCTTAAACAGAGTCTTGAGAGAAAGATTCTGCGTTCGTTTGTGTTGACTTTTGCCCACGCTCGCGTGAGTTGTCGCATTAAGCTGTCCCTCCTCAGACGAGAGTTTTGTTAAGAACAAAAAGAATTGCTGCTCAACTCAAGAACTTTATGTTTCCTAATGTCAATTCCTACAGCCCTAGGTAGCTTGATTGGCAAATAAAGTCAGCGTATTAGATAATCACTGTTCATAAAGATATTATCTCCTTACATCCACGAAAGCAGGTCTTACTGTTGGTTAATTGGAACGAGCCAATAGAATTTCCCCTAACATAATCCAAATATTCATTAATTAATTAAGTCGATTTAATAACAATTTAGATCGTGTTTGGACTGATGCGATGGAAGGCGGCTGTACAGGCCATTTATATTTTTGGCGCCACTCTCCTGACCTGCTCCCTTCTACTCGAAGGCATTTTTATCCGTCTTTTATTGGTCCCCTATCTGCGCGAATCCAATTTTTTGCCAACTCACTGTATCATCCTAGACACCTACTACCCTACAAACGAAATGCGGAGGTGCGATACCAGATTGCCAAAACTGACTTCAGCGTTCCCCTGTCTCGTGGTAAGAGTTCTATTCCAAAAGCAAGATCGCAGTTGGCATATTGGGCATCTATTTGACCATCTTGTCTCTTTCCAAAAGCGACAACCGTACTGGGTAAGTTCTTGTGCACTAAGCAAAAACCAGGTGTTTGAGGCACGGCATGAAAATCAAAAGTTTAAAAATTAGCACATTTCACGAGGTTTTGTAAACGCGAAGATGCGCGAAGGAAATGGACATTGACAAGCTTGTGTGCGCAAGGTTACCTGTCACTTTGTCAAGGTACTTTGTTGTGCTTTGACAAACATGGCGGGTTTGTTGGACGGACATGATGAATTAATGTTGAATGCAAATATATTTGTCAGGTATTTGCTACTCACATGTGCTATCTCTGGTGGTGTTCCACCCGTCCAGCATTAATTAATGGAACGAAAACAGCGTTATTTACTCTCAAAACCTTCTTGCAGCCTGTCGTAAAGATTCCGGGGATTTGTTGAAGAGATTTTTACTCAAAAATGTAACAGCGGGTTTTTACTAAAGGAATCTTGGGCGCACTTAGAAACTCAGTAATTTCTGACAGTGCAGATGTGGTAATCAAAATGAATCAGCCTATGATCGGGCTAGCACGAGACCCGAGTGTCCTGTTTTGCAAATGTAAATCACTTTTGCGACCCTGACACGTATTTTGAGTGAATGTAGGCCTGTTTGTAAGAACAATACGTTGTTGAAGTAAATTCACGTAAATCGACTGAATTGTGTTCGTTTATGCTTGCTAACTGCATTCTCTCACAATTGCTGTGTTCGCTTGCTGACCGCCACAGCTCTACCCCTTGGTAAATGGACTTGGCTAATCCTTTTTTCTAACAGGAATTCCAAAAAGTAGGTCGACAGTTTTGTGTGGTGGACAAATGTTAGGAAGGACGATGAAGCAACCTTTTCTTGCAACAAAGTATCTGAAAGTTTGGCCGTAGGTTTGTAAAATAGCATTTCCAGCGTTATAGTTGTGGAGATTAACTGGTGTCGACAGATAAGTGGATTGTTTGGAGTCGTCCGTCTGAGGTTGTGGCCAAAGACGGTACGTGATTGAGTAAGGCTAGGGTTGGGGAAACGAAACGAGGCTGATAAAGTTGGG